TACTATTGATAATGAGCTATTTATTGAACTATTTGTTATTTTAACTTTCTTCATTTATTTGGAAATCTTTGTGACAATCAGTTATAAAGACTCAAAATAATTACAAATCACTAATAATTTTTTCTATATGTAACTAAATCATGAAGAAATTCTTTTCGTTTAATAGCAAAATAATAGCAGATTAATTGTCTTTGGTTAAATGATACCAATAATGCATACAAATTAATATATTCACATATGCAAATTAATAATCTTTGGAAGATATTTTGGAAAACAACAAGTAAGTATTCAAAAATATACAATTAAAATTTATTTATTAAATTATAAATAATTAAACATATTAAATAAAATGAAACTGAAACAAAATATAATAGCAGTGCAATGTATGACAAAGTCAGACTCAATAGTCAAACAAAATACATTTTTAAAAATTTTTTAATAAGTAAATCAATCATTCGAGAAAAATCGAGAAATTTTTATTAATTTATTTTTAATGATGGTCCTTATAAACAAATGAAATTATTCCAGTCTTTAATTTTTTTTATATTATATATTTTTGTAATTAATATCAAATGTATTACATGTATTTTTGCGTAAATTTTGTTGTTAATTTATTATCACTATAATTAACTCGCCAATATTTTTAAAACAAAAGACTTTTAATATTTTTAAATATTAGAGTATTTAAATTAAGATTTTTACAATGATCGAGATTTTTAATACTCAAAATTTTTTAAGCAGAGTTAATTCTTCAATCAGATTCAAAATTTTTTAATAACATTATTAGAATTATAGTCTTCAGATTATATGATATAAAAATTATCTGACAATTTTTTGAAGTTTCTGATTTCTTATTGGATTGGAAAAAGTATTTAGAATAGAATACATAATTTCATATGATGATAGTTTCATATTTTAATCAATTGCAATATATTTTAACATATATATCTCTTATTTATTATCTATTATTTATGTTTATTATAATATTTAATATATTTTTGATATATTTTTAATATATAATAATATGAAATTATCTATATTTTGTTATTTTACAAAAATCTTTGTATACTATATTTAAAATATAAAGTTTTATATACCTAAAAATTATAAGCTAATTAATTAATTTTTGGACATAGATTAAAAAAATATAGAAACGAATCAAAATGGCGGAATGAACCATAGACTTGATAAATAAAATACTTACTAATTCAGTAAGTGAAGTGAAATTCTGAATTGACCAGATTTATACAAAATATAAATTTACGGAAGATTTTTGAATTTTAACATTTAAAAAATATTAAATTTATTAATATAAATGGCTACTCTTGAAGACAAGTCTCTCTGGGAAGATGGAGAGGTATAAATTGTAAATTTATTTGGTATAGGTTAAGATGGAATGACAAGCATATCTAAATCGTTTAGAGTTTAATATATTATATGACTCTAATACAAATTACTTAAAATAAAATGAATTTTACTAAAATTAAAAAATATTTTTTAATTAAAAATTATATTATGTTTTAGTTAAAAAGATCATACTTATTTTTTATTTGTAAATATTTATAAATATTAGTTTGCAAATGTTAGCAAGCTTTTAAATTTATTTCTAAATATGTTTGTAATTTATAATTTATGAAGTTAGAGAAACTAAAAATATATAATAAATATTTTTATAAATCTTTTTATAGGAAGCTTTGGGTGAGGATGTTTGGAGAATGTCTACAGATGAGATTGTCTCCCGCACACGTTTATTAGATAATGAAATCAAAATTATGAAAAGTGAAGTGATGCGCATTTCTCATGAACTGCAGGCACAAAATGATAAAATTAAAGAGAATACTGAAAAAATTAAAGTAAATAAAACCTTGCCATATTTAGTATCAAATGTTATAGAATTATTAGATGTGGATCCTCAAAATATTGGAGAAGAAGATGGTGCAGTTGTTGATTTAGATGCACAAAGAAAAGGCAAATGTGCAGTTATTAAAACTTCTACTCGTCAAACATACTTTCTACCTGTAATTGGATTGGTTGATGCAGAAGCTTTAAAACCAGGTGATTTAGTTGGTGTCAATAAAGATAGCTATCTTGTACTTGAAACTTTGCCTGCTGAGTATGATGCAAGAGTAAAAGCTATGGAAGTAGATGAAAGACCCACTGAACAATATTCAGATATTGGTGGTTTGGATAAACAAATTCAAGAATTAATAGAAGCTGTAGTTTTACCTATGACACATAAAGAAAAATTTGAGAATCTTGGTATTCAACCTCCCAAAGGTGTATTATTATATGGACCACCAGGAACTGGAAAAACTTTATTAGCTAGAGCTTGTGCTGCACAGACAAAATCTACTTTCTTGAAATTGGCAGGACCCCAACTTGTTCAAATGTTTATTGGAGATGGTGCAAAATTAGTGAGAGATGCATTTTCACTTGCAAAAGAGAAAGCACCTGCTATTATTTTTATAGATGAATTAGATGCAATTGGAACAAAACGCTTTGATTCTGAAAAAGCTGGAGACAGAGAAGTGCAACGTACTATGTTGGAGTTATTAAATCAATTAGATGGATTTAGTTCAACCGCTGATATTAAAGTAATAGCAGCTACGAATAGAGTAGATATCTTAGATCCAGCTTTATTGAGATCTGGTCGTTTGGATAGGAAAATAGAATTTCCGCATCCAAATGAAGAAGCTAGAGCTCGTATAATGCAAATTCATTCGCGAAAAATGAATATGTCTCCAGATGTTAATTTTGAAGAATTATCAAGATCTACTGATGATTTCAATGGCGCTCAATGTAAAGCTGTTTGCGTGGAAGCGGTATGTAATATCTTGATATGTAAAAATAATAATAATATTTTTTAATCTTTTTTTGTTTTTATAGGGAATGATAGCATTGAGACGCAATGCAACAGCTGTTACACATGAAGATTTAATGGAAGCTATTAATGAAGTTCAAGCGAAAAAGAAAGCTAATCTTAACTATTATGCCTAATATGCTTTTGATTTATTTATTAAAATACATTTTATAATAAATAAAAATAGACTGTAATAATTGCAACAAAATTAAATTTCAAGAGATTAATCTTATTTGTAAAATAAATAGCTCAATATGAGCTTTAAAATTTATAAAAGAATTCAGTATATTTAATTCAGAACTTCAATTTACGATTTTAGAAGAACTTATTTGAATTCACAAATTTTATATGAAATACTAACAACTTAACTGTTAATGAAATATAAATAACTGTTGAATAAATATAAATAATATATGCATAGATTATTTGAACTTCAATATTTATAAATCCTTTCCAATTTATGTTATCAATTATAATATTAATTTTAAATGGAAAAATTTTTAAAAGATGATAAATTAATTTTCTGTAAACTATATTATTTCCAATATCTTGTTTTTTTTTTTTACAATATCTGTGAAGTACAAAACAATCTTCCTTATTTAATCTTTCTTAGTTATACATAGAGGAAATAAAATTATTTTTTTAATAATTATTGCTCTTTTTTTCATCGTCTTCGGTGACTTCTCTTCTTAATTCTGTAAATAAAAGAATTGATTTGTTAATAAAATTTAACAATTATATTTTAAATGAAATTTTTATATACTTTTAATTAAAATATATCTTACTTCTTTGGTCCTTTTACAAAACACCAATCAACTGAAATAGGTTGTCCTAAAATTTCTGTTCCATTTAAAGCATCTTTTGCTGCTTGAGCTTCTTTAAATGTTTCATATTCTACTAAAGCATATCCTTTTAAGAAACCTGTTCTTCTATCCAAATTTAAATGTAAATTCTTTATTTGACCAAATTCTGAAAATTTATCTTGAATATCATCTTCTTGAGCTTCTTCATGCACAGAATTTATAAATAGAATCCAACCTTCTACGGCTAAAAATTATAAATATATTTTTTTATAAAAATGTTAAGTATCAAATAAATTTTATTTTTTTGTTTTTTACTTTTTATTTATAAAATTTATTTTTTTTGTAGTTATAATTAAATATTTATTCAAAAATAAAATACATAAAATATTTTCTTACATCTTTGTGGACCTGGTTCATCGTCATCTTCCTCAACAACGTTCATTGATTCATAATGACCGACATCATCACGAGTAGATACTAATTCTGCACCGTGTCCTCTACCTTTTCTTCTTTTCGCTTTTTCTTTTAAACGTGCAATACCTTCTAAAATGTGAAAAAAAAATATTAAAAATAAGTATTTATGAAAATATATATTTTTAGTCAAATTAATTCTAATTTTAAGAGGTTATAACAAATGACGCTTATGTATAACCATAAAGTTATCTAAAAAGATAATCAAACTTACGATCGTCTTCATCATCCACTTCAAATTCTTCTGCATTATCAATATCTAGCACATCTGCCATAATTAAATTATTATAAGTTTTCTTTTAATAAATACGTAAGCACAGTATTTCTAACAAACGAATCAACACGTAAGCTTGACTAAATGCCAAATAGTGTGTTTACGATTTTGGACACAATATATAATATATATATATAATCATTAAGTATACATTATTTAGATATACTGAATATATTTATATAATTAATAAATTGATAGTTGAAAAGAATGCTAATCCGATTGATTACTTTTAGAATATATCCCAACAATAAATTTAACCATATATTGTATATTTTATTTTTATTTATTTAATCTAATATAAAAAAATAATTTTATTTTAATAATTAAAATAAAATATGTAAATATATATAATTTTTTATTATGAAAAGAAATAAATTAATAATAAGACAAAGTTATTTTTTAAAATTATTATCTATTATAAATATGTATACATATATTTATAATATATATTTATATTTATATATATTTAATTTTTCAAAATTACTTGTAGAAAAATTGGTAAGGTTTATTCAATAATTATAAAAAATATTATTTTATTGTATTTTTCATGAAGTAATAACAATAGTATTTCAAATGTTCGTAAGATCGATCTTTTAATTTTACTATATGAAGAGCATCGCGCCAAATTTCAATCCATAGTTTCTAAATTGACAAGTTATGAAACTCCAATTTTTTCAATTCCAACATTTTTTTTTAAAAATTTATTAGAAATATGTAATATAATAAATAAAATGACATCGTTGCAAGTATTAAAATTAACACAAGCATATGAACAACCACAAACAGTATAATAATGCATACAAATATGTATATTCATTATGAATTTGAATTTAAAATGTTATAATAATAATTTACATATAAAATGGCAACTGCACCTATAACAGATAATTCTCCAAAATCCTTATTAAAACTCGTGGAAGATAAAAATGACAAATCAGAAAAAAAATTAACCATTCTTGAATCACATGGATACACTCTTGGTAAAACAATAGGTGCCGGTTCATATGCTACTGTAAAAGTATGTTATATATATAACATATGTACTAATATTACAAATCAATATTAATTTCATCAATATTAATTATTTATAATCATATATATAAAAGATAGCAAAATCTGATCGACATGATTGTCAAGTAGCAGTAAAAATTGTTTCAAAATTTCAAGCACCTGGTGATTATTTAAAAAAATTTTTACCCCGTGAAATTGAAGTTGTTAAAGGTTTAAAACATCCAAATTTAATTCGTTTTCTCCAAGCGATCGAAACAACTCATCGGTTAGTCAATTTATAATATTATTTAAAAAAATTACAATATATATTCTTTTTATTAACTATATTTAGTAAATATAAAAAGATTTAACACCTTAATATTTATATCTTCATTAATTTAATAAACATATATTTAATAAATAATTTAACATTTAGCGTTTATATTATTATGGAATATGCTCAATGCGGTAGTTTGTTGGACATAATAAGACGTGATACATTTATCGATGAATTTCGTAGTCGTCGATGGTTTCGGCAATTATTAGAGGCTATTGATTACTGCCATGGACGTGGTGTAGTACATAGGTAAAAATTTGATAAGAAATGTTAAGTGCCGTCACATATTTAACTACATAATTTTATTTAAGAGACATCAAATGTGAAAATCTTTTGATGGATCAGAATTTTAATATTAAGTTATCTGATTTTGGATTTGCACGTGGACAAATGAAACCAAAAAATGGCACTAATCCATTAAGTGAAACTTTCTGTGGTAGTTATGCTTATGCATCACCAGAAATATTAAAAGGTGTTCCATATTTACCTCAACTATCTGATATATGGTCCATGGGCGTAGTTCTCTATGCAATGGTTTATGGTCGACTACCATTTGATGATACAAATTACAGTCAACTACTAAAGGTACCCAGGTACATTAAAAAAGAAAAAAAACGTAATAGAATCTAGATCAATTTAAAATTTTATTCATATAATGGTGTTATTTAAATAAGATTTTTATGATTTTCTATAATATTATTTTCTTCATAATACAGCAAGTACAAAATAAAGTTGTATTTCCTAAAGAACCAAATGTATCTCAAGCTTGTCGTTCACTTATCTCACGAATACTTGTTCCACAACGAATACGGATGAATATTGATAATATAAGAAATGATACGTGGCTTGCTGAATCTCTTGTTACAGTTGAAACTTCTACTACTGATATCCCAATGGTAATATTTATTTTCCGTCTTTATATTTTATATTAATTCTTAATGATATGTTTTATATAATTTTAAAGGATACTTCTACATTACGAAACGTAAAAAAAATGACGAATGAAAGAAATAAAGAAACAAAAAATACGACTGATATTGGAGCACAAATTATTGATAAACATTTAACATAAACATTCCAGATGAAAACCATAGATATCCAAATTTGAAATAGGTTCCTATTTTATCTTCAAACAATATTTTTTCTGATTTTTCATATTTCATTTAACATTAAAGTTATCACAGTATTATGGCACATTTATTTATATTTGTTCTTTAGTTCATTTTTTACTTATAAATAATATTACTTTTACAAAGTTTAATGATCAGTATATTAATATCAAATAATAACCTAAATATTTGTTAGCAAACAGGACCTGCCCAAATGCATTACTTGAGATAAGTACAGTACATGGTACTGTACTCGTTCAGTCATAACATAGAATGATATTTAGCAATCATAAGTAAAAGTAATGTACTTATCATAAAAATACCTGGAGCAGTTGCTTTATGAATATTCTTTATATTATCTACAAAAAAATGATCTGATGTTTTAGATAATTTAACAAAATCAATTTTTATTAGAAAAAAAAAAAAAGAAAACATACCATTGGTATTAGAAACTGGTTCCCAACCTAAACTACGATCAATAGCCATTTTCCATTGTGAATATAATATATCTCGTTCTAAATAAAATTTGATTATTTTCAATAAATTGAATATAAGATAAAAATTAGGAAAAATTAATAACATACCATTCTCAGATATTGAAGGTAAGAAGATATCACTTGGTACAGCAATATCAAGTTTTAAATCCCATTTTCGTATACCATCTGCATTTCCTGCAGCAATTGCAACTCCAAGTGCGGTAGTTTCACACATTAAAGGCCTCACTTTCTTGTAAAATTGTTCAATTAATCAGATATTTTTTTATCTTTATTTTGTTTTTTTTATTATAAGAAATAAATTTTTATGAAAATTTATACTTACCAACTGGAATTCCACAAATATCTGCTTGCATTTGCATTAATAAATTATTAGTAGTCATAGCACCATCTACTAACAATTTAGATAATGTTAAACCTGTGTCTTCTTTCATAGCTTCCAAAATATCTCTTGTCTGAAAACAAACGGCTTGCAAAGCTGCTTTTATAATATGTGTACTATTTGTGTCTTCAGTAATTCCACATATAACACTGAAATGTTAAATACTTTGCAAGGAATATGTGATAGTAAAATTAATTACAATTCCTAATTCCATATTATGACATAATTATAATATTATATTATTATGTAATTTACCTTCTTGCATCTTTCCTCCAATATGGAGCATATAATCCAGCAAATGCAGGCACAAATGTAACACGATTATCAGTTGGAATTTGTTCAACAAGAGATTCAGATTCCTTTACATCAGATAGTACTCCAAGATTATCTTTTAGCCATTGAATAACAGCACCAGCTATAGCTACAGAACCTTCAAGAGCATATATTGGTGCTGCTTGTGGTCCTAATTGATAAGCAACTGTTGTCAATAATCCATGAGATGAATCTACAATCTTCAAAATTATTTATTAATATTTAAATTGTAAAGAAATATTGAAGAATAATAAAGTTAATCTTACAGCAGTTCCAGTATTGTATAAAAGAAAACAGCCTGTGCCATAAGTGCTTTTTGCTTGTCCTTTTTGTAAACACATTTGTCCTACCAATGCTGACTGCTGATCACCTAAACACTTTATATAAATCAATATTTATTTATAGATAATTACTATCTCATTTTGATTAATATATTAATTATAAAAAATGCCTACTCCTGATATTGGTACACCAGATAAAACTTCATCTTGTATGTAACCATATATTTCTGATGAACTACGAATCTCTGGTAAAATTTCTGGAGGTATATTAAAAAATGATAATAATGTTGGATCCCATTTTAAAGTTGTGATATTCATTAACATTGTTCTTGAAGCATTTGTAACATCAGTGGCATGAACACCTCCAGTTAAATTCTAAAACATATATATATAATTATTTAATAATAAATTTTATTTTTATAATATATCTTTTATATGAAAAATTACTATATAAAATACATTAATTATATTTTATATTTTAATAAGTAATTATTACTCACCCAAATTAACCATGAATCAATTGTGCCAAACATGCACCGTTTTAAATCTAAAGCTTCACGTACACGAGGTACATTTTCTAACAACCATTTTAATTTTAAACCACTGAAATATGGACTAATTGGTAAACCACAAAGTGGTTTCAAATAGTTTTTATTTTGATTACGTATTTTTTTTAATATATCATCTACAATTGAAGTAGTTCTCATATCCATCCATACTATAAAGTAATGAATATAAATTTTATTTTTACTAATATTAATCATTATTAAAAAATATAAAATATAAAAATATAAAAATATAAAAATAAAATATCTTGTGTTAATGATTACCTATAGCATTATATAATGGTTCTCCAGTAATGGAATCCCACACAACTGTAGTTTCTCTTTGGTTTGTTATACCAACTGCAACTATATCAGTAGGATCTATGGTAAGCTGGCGTAAATTAAATATAGTTTGATTAAGACATTCTCTAACTGCTTTTAATATTTCTATAGGATCTTGCTCAACCCATCCTTCTTTTGGACATGTTTGTGTTATTGGAACCTGATGATATGTTAATACTTCAGCTGTATCTGCAGCAAAAACCTGAAATAATTTGTATATTATTAATAAAAATATAAGAACATAAAATGAAGAACTTTATACAAATTATAATATATTATTCATATTTTTTACAAAAAAATTAATAAATTATTAAATTTTTTGTCAAATTTTATTAAAAATAAATCTAAAAAATTTTTCTTTTAATTTTTAACATAGAGTAATAATAGTAGAAAAATACATTCATATTTTAAAAATATATTTCTTTATTAATTTTAAACATTTAAATTTAAATCATTATTAATTATAATTATAAATTATAATATTTACAATTATATGTGATATAAATAATTATTAAAAATTTAATACCAAAAATCTAGCACTACTTGTCCCTTCGTCGATTGCACCGACGAGGGGTCCATATCTACTTGTCGACTCATTTTTGTTCATTTCATAGAAGACTATTTGAATACTTGTTATTAATTATTTCTTTTAATTTATTTGTAATCAATCGGCAAATTAAATAATTAAGTATCACAATCATGAATATGAAATTAATAATGAATGGTTTTAAATTAATATTAAATTAAAGATATTAGATAACTACAATAACTCTTTTGATAAAAATAAGTATCCAGCTACGCGCACGTTGTTGGCTGTTTTTCATCGATCGCCTTTGCTTCAAAGAATAACAATTTCCATGCACCGATGTTACAAACCGATTGTCAGTTTCCATTTATGATTATGTTTAACATAGAACGGAACATTACTATTTAAAAATTGGCGGTGTTTCATTAACTATATCATATTTTGAATGTCTATCTATAGAAAGAAAAAAGTAAATATAAAAGAAACATCGTGATTGGTTCATGGAAACATTCCTATAGAATAGAAGAAAAAACATTACTTTTCTATAGCAAAAATTTTTACAAATAGAATTATTTATTTAATCTTTGGTATTTGGCATATCTACATTTTGCGTGTTTCTTTTACTCTTAATTATGTTTATTTTTTTAATACGTTACGAATATAAATTTTATAAATTTAGACGAGAAGTTAATATCTTAAATATTTTAAATATTTTATATTATTCTATAATAAAATCTTAAAAAAAACTTTGTTATTATTTTTCTTAATTTATACAATAATATAATCAATTCGCTTACAAGATAAATCAACCTTATCTATATATTAATTAATTTATAAATACACAATTATATGTATATCTTTTATTTTTTACTTATTTTATTTTATACTTAAAAACTGAAATCTTAAAACAGATATATTATCAATTAAAAATGTAATATAATCCAATTAAATAATTCTTTTTTTATTCGAAAAATTGAATTATACAATGTTAATTAATATTGTTATAATTTATAATTATAATATAATTTGTAATTCAAATAATAAGATGTACTTACTATTATTTAAAATGAAAATTTGAATTCACCAACAATAAAATTCAACATAAAATTCCCTGGAAATTCATGTAACAGATATTAATGTCAAATATGGTTACTAATTTGTACAATTTAATAGAAAGAATAAAAATAAAAGTGTTTTATATTAACCAAGATACATTTCCATTAAACTATTTAATTTAAAAAAAATATATATATAAAAGAGATGACTAAATAAATTTTAATAAAAATCAATTTTTGTTGATCAAAATGTTTATTTTATATCAATATGTTGAAATGTCAACGGATTTTTCAAAATTTTATACATTTTGGAGGGACTGAAATGCTGTAAAATATGGCTGAATTACGCGTAGAAATGATCCGATAGAGGGCATTCGACGCGTGCATACGCAATCGTGTTCCTCCACCTAACGCGAAGGCGACATCGAATTGTCGTTTACGTTCTAAAAAGTGGCAACCATTTCGAAGTGTATTTTTCGTTATACTTTCGTCGCAATCATCTACCCTACCTGTCATGAGGACTTAAATGGCATCAAAACCCATTTGCCGTTTTGCTCGCTGCCAATCGTTCGAACGGAGACACGAAAATTTCAAGTCAGTGCTGGCAACTTTTTACATTTATTATAAGGCTTCATTTTGACGAGGAACGCAGGCAAATATTTTGTTTACTGTTCCTCACACGTTATTGTTAGGGTTATTGGATTTTAGCGGTTACTTATCGATGCGAGCAAAGAACGGAATGCTTCGTTGCATGGAACGACGAAAGCAATCTTGTCAGACGCTTCATCGCATTATTTCTTATTCCTTTACTTATAGAATGAATCGTCGGATACGTTATTGTTCGACAATGCAACGATATCAATGGTTGCTTTCTTCTCAGTACACATCGTATGCTGTTACATAAGGAGAGACCATTATAAAAATTTTATTTTAATGAATTTTACTTTTGCTTGTATGAAAATTAAAAATTATTCTGCGAAATACAAAGTACCACAATTATTACTTTTAAAATATAATTTATTTTATTATGTTTAATATTTTTGTTTTTTAATTTTTAATATTTTAAAATTTTAAAAATACTTTTTAAAAATATAATACCAATAAATATTGATATGAATTAAAAATGAATTAATTTAAAGAAAAAAATATATATATATATATATATAATATAATTATAAACATATTTATTATTATTCTATCATATTTTTAAGATTATGAAATCATATTTTTAACGTATATAATTATATTTGCAGTTGCCAAAAAGATGACAGCTGATTCAGAAAAAGATAGTACTCATTGTTTAGTATGTAATAGTAAAGTTGGTGTATCTACTAGAAATAGTATACGAATTTTTAATGAAAATTCTTTAACATCATCTGAAAAACCACTTGTAGATACTATTTGTACTGTCTTAGAAACAGATTTAAATGAAGAGAATGTACATTCTCTTGTTATATGTAAAAAGTGTTATAAATTATTTAATGAGGTAAATGAGATATGAATTATTATGTTTTATAAAATTATATAGCAAATATAATGTTAAAAGATAATTAATATTTGCAGATTGATGAACTTGAAAATCGACTATCAGAAATAAAATTAGAATTATTCAATAATTATAAGAAAACTATAAAAAAATTATCTGATATTCAAAATGAAGAAGAATATAATGATCACGATTACATAGAAAACATAGAAAGTCAAGATACAGATGGAGAATTAAATATATAACAAAAGTAATATATAAAATAAATTCAATTAAATATCTAAATATATCTAATATATTTAGATATTTAATCTAATATATATATATTAATAATATATTAATTATAATATATTAAAATTATAATATTCATTTTATTATAATTTAAAATTTAATGTGAAGGATGAACAAGAAATGCAAGATATGGGAGAAGGAGAAGAAGAAAGATTAGAGGAAGAAGAAGAGGAACCTTCTTGTGAGCCAGAGGAAATCATTCTTAAAGTTGAACCTATACCAGAAACAAGTAATGCTGAGGAAAGAAAAAGAATAAAACGGACAAAAATTGCACCAAAAGTTGAACCTTCTCAAGAACGAGTAATTATCATATTATTAATTTATATTACTATAGAAATATAATATATAAAAATTTATATTAATATAATAATATTTCTTTATTTTTCATTTGTTTTTTAGATTGTATCTAGGGATGGTTCTACATATACCTGTTTATTATGTACAAATGAAGAAGATAAAGCTGTAGGAGATGCAAAATCTATTATTGCGCATGTAAGAAGCGTACATGAAACTCGTTTATACATTTGCGATATATGTGGTGATGATTTTAAAAAGAGAAATGAATTATCTGTTCATCTTGATGATCATGTTGCTAAAGAAGAGGGAGATTTTCAATGTGAAATATGTAATAGAATATTTAGTAATTTGCGATTGTTTAGAATCCATAAAAGAATACATTATCCACAAGTAAAATCTTGGCCATGTGAGACTTGTGGTAAACGATATAGGTAAATATAACTTGCAATTTTTAAGTGATATATAAGTTAACTTATATATACTATAATTTTTTTTTTTTTATAGTTCCAGAAATTTATTAGAGGAACATATCAATACACATACGGGTGTTCGTCCATATGTATGTGAAAATTGTGGTAAAGATTTTGCTTCAAAATATACTTATAAAGCTCATGTAAAAACACATGAGATACGACCTCGTCCTTATGAATGTTCACAATGTAATAAAACATTTTTAAGTCAACAAAATCTTAATCAACATGAAAGAACCCATAATGGTGTAAAAGAATATGTTTGTCACCAATGCGGTATATTTTGTTTATTTATTTTTCGTTTTTTTTTGTAATATTTGAAACAATTTTATAATATAAAAATTATAAAATTATAGGAAAAGCATTTGGTTCACCACATAATTTGGAAGTGCATAATATAGTGCACACTGGTTACAAACCTTATATATGTAGAGTATGTGGTAAAGCATTTGCCCGTAAAGCTGAAATTAGAGATCATGAAAGAACACACACTGGAGAGAAACCATATCAGTGTGAATTTTGTGGAGCTACATTTAGGCATGTTTATTTATGCATTTATTAAATATATATTAAGTGTAAAAATAATTTAATTTTTATAACTTTTTAGTCAACGATCAAATTTACAATCGCACAAACGTGCAACACATTATAATGATAAGAGGTATAAATGTGATGATTGTGGAAAAGGATTTAAACGGCGAAGATTATTAGACTATCATATAAAAGCAGCCCATACTGGTGAAAGACCATACAAATGTGATATATGTACAGCAACATTTGTATACCCTGAACATTTCAAAAAACATATGCGTATACATACTGGAGAGAAACCTTATCTTTGTGAGGTATTTAAAATCATTTATTTAATATTAACTTAATATTTTATTTTTATTTGAAATTTTTGAAATTTCAGGTTTGTGGAAAAGCATTTAATAGTCGAGATAATAGAAATGCACATCGATTTATACATAGTGATAAAAAACCGTATGAATGTCTTGTATGCGGAATGGGTTTCATGAGAAAACCTTTATTGTATGCTCATATGCAAACTCAGGTTGAAGTGATATGATATAATAATTTTTTTTTATTCAAAAGTTTTGATACGAATATTTATGTAAATTTTTAGGGCCATTTAAATGATACTATTGTGGTCAATCAACCGCGACTCACTACAGAAGATGATCAAGTCATAACAATTTCTGATGGTAATGTGGAATTTTTAGTGGATGAGGCAGAAAATGATCAAGTAATAAAATATATTTATTCTTTTATTTTTTATGTTATGATATATTTATTAATTTTTTCTATATTTTTTCCGTTTTTTTAGTTAGATGAAAATGATTTATATGTGACAGAATTAAAAGATCATGTTATTATACAACAGCAAAATGAGGATCAAATGTATAATGAAGAAGATGTATTAAATATTTCAAAAGAAGAAAATGTTGCAGATGAAGAAGTAAATCATCTCGCTGATGGAGAGGTATATACGAAGATACATATTCGAAATATTTTGATATTCATAACAACAAGTTTGATAATAAATTAAAACTTCATAATTTTAGATGAATTTTGTGGAAAATGAAGTAATGGAATGCAAAGTTGAAGATTCAGAACAAGTAGAAGAGGTATACAATTATAATGAAACTGAAGACGGGGAAACAATAGTTGTACCAACTATTTCGGAATACAAAGAAGAAGAAGATGAGAAAAATGCCGTTCGATTAGTGCAAATTCGATTTCCAACGTCGGTTGGTGGGGAAGGCCGAAGTTGGTTAAGCTTAGTACAAAACACGTGAATTTTTGTGTCATTATGTACCATAGCTCTCTGATTAGGAAATCGCTTTTTTAATAAATCTTTAAATCAATATTAATAAAAACGTACTAGTATACATAAACGAGTGGATAAAGAAATTCGCCTTACACAAAATGGAAGTATGATATTACATGATACAAATGCAATTTAATTGCAATATCATGTGATAGATTCATGTTTATTTATGTGTATGAAGCTATATTATTCTTCTCATAAACAAATAAAAAAATAAAAGATAATACTAATTCTATAATTAACGTAAATGGCAAAAAACTTAAAGCGAAGAATACTGCATCACGTTTAATATATTAAGTATATATTTAAGTTTCATTTGGGAAAGATTTTCTCAATCAAAGTTGACGCAATAGAAAGAAATTTTATTATAGGGCAAAAATATTAAAAAATAATAACATACAATTGGACATCCGATATAAAACCGATATTTATAAAACCAGTCAGTAGTATAATTTTAATTGTAATTTAATTTTTTTAAGTCGCGTTTATGTTTATGTTTCTTACTTCTTTCGTGTTTTATAATGATTACTGCGCGTATTAATAATACATGCAAAATAAATCGATGAAAAGTGTAGTTGGTCGTTTCAAAATGAATTAAGTATATTAATTTGAGACAGTACATTTTGTACATCTTATAATAATTTTCGTATTGGCGCAATTTTCTAAATGTTTTATATCCATTTTCCTGATATTGATATTTTTTTATGCATTTAACATAAATTATAGTTGTTAATATCTAATAAGAAAGTTTTCTTAAGATTAAAGTTAAAATTTTATAAATATTATCTTTAACTTATCTTTAACATTGCTTCCGTAATTCTTTGAATTAATTTAATTATTTTACTAAGTAAAATTCCAATGAAGAATGTTTATTACTATTTTTAAAATTTTGAAATAATATGTTACATCATTTATATATAATATGTCATTGTATACATCACATAAAAACTTATAAAACTAATACTATAAACAAAATGATGTATCGAATATTTAATTTCTATGTATTATTATTAGTTAACTATTATTCTTTATAAATATTAATATAAACATGTACAAATAAATAAAATTATAATGTTCTTAGACATTGTTTCTTTTTTTTTATTTCTTCTTTAATAATTAATTTGCGAAGATAAATATGACGATACATATAAATCAAATTTAATTTGAGATTAAAAAATTAAAAGATATAATAATTCAAATTCAATTATTTAAAGACAACTCATACATGTTTATTAAATGAATGTTGGAATCAATTTTTATATTACAATAATAAATGATAAAAGTCAATAGTGCATGTGTTTTGCAGAAATGTTAAGAGGATGGTTTTGACAAATGACAGGAAATTACGGCGCACTGAGATACTCTATTCAGCGATTAATTGTTACGCTATTGTAGCTTAAGCCATCAAGCAGCATCTCGTGGCTCTCAATAAGTTAAATTGAGTGTGAATAATATTCGAATCCGCCAGTCTCTATGTCGGGGAATCGTACCTTAATGCCTCTTTATCCACTCCGGTCTTTCAAAACGAACTAACACAATAGAATCTAAGGATATTCAATTTTTCATAAAGAAATGAGATTTTAATAGTCCCTTCTCAATAGTCATCATTTTTAAACTTACATGATGTGAATACATCAATTTTATGAAATTTTGTTTGGTACATTATATTTATTCTATATGAATTTTTATTTTTATTTATATACAAAAATTTATATTCATTTTAATTTAAAAAAGTCTAATTAAGCAGTATTAATAAATACAATAAAAGAGAATGCAAATATCTTTTTAAGCTTTTTTAATAATAGAAAATATATTTGTTTAATTAAATAAATTCAAACTTCGATAAAATGTAAAGTGAGTGGATTTAGGAATGATTTACAACAGTTACTCCTCGAAAGAATAATTTACTCCTCTAAGATGCTTAGGAATTCTCTATTCATTCAATGCTCCGCAAGTGCACGAATACATGTCGTTTCTCACATTAATTAATCGACAAGTCTAATTGAATTGCCTTGTCTATGAACCGCCATTTTAATGTATCCCCAACGTTTCATCAAATTTACATAAACGCGTGATTGTTTATTAATAATATAAAATAATTACAATCTATTTTGCTTTTTATATTATATTATATTATACAATAAATATAAATGTATGAACAAAATATAAAATTTTTAAAGACTTAACAAAAAAAAGAAAAAACAATATTATAGAATTTATTGTATAATTATATTATAAAATTTGTTTTTATAATTTATAAGTTTTTTAAATATATAATATATTTAAAATCTATAGAATGTATAAGAGATTATTAGAGTAAAAATGTGACAAACATAAAAAAAAATATATAAGAAATAGGATCTTAATGCTTTTATATTCAAAATTCATAAATTTCATATTCTACGAAATTGAGCAAACGAAATTGAATATTTTATTTAAAAAAAAAAAAAAACAAAATTCATCTTTAAGCCTTCTTTATGTACCTATTTATAAAAAAGATAATTTTTTTTGTGTTTGGTTTAAAAAAATAAAGATATTTCAAACGAATACAATTTGTGGAATAGATTGTATAGTTTTTTGTAAATTAAATAATTACACGGCAGAAAACTTTTCTAAATAATGATATACTTAATCATAAAATAATACCAACGTATTCTCTTTTACATTCCCACATCCTTCCACAAAATTTCTGTTTCATTCATAATGATACCATCCTCTATCCTTCCGTACGTGGTTTCTCTGTTTTCCCAACTTGAATCTTTCTCTCAAAGTTCTTCCCTTTTTCCTCTGAACACGCACTGCATGCAAATGTATGTATTATTGCGGCATTCCACACTGATTAAGCGCCGTGTCCAAAATGAATCTTTAATGAATCTCTCCAAGACTTCAAACTACGTTGCTTAATGATAACGTTATCATACATTATTTATAGCCGTAGCAATACAAGTAAAATTATAAAAAAACAAAACTTTAATTGAAATAATTTTTTCTTTGGACGAAAATTTCAGAACGAAGATCCAAGAAATTGATAAATATATTTGGAGATATATTATAATTACATAGAGTGGAATTTGAAGAATAATATTAGTTTTTACGACAATATAAAGTATTAATAAGTCAATTTTTTTATTAGGATAAAACTTAAAAAATTATAAGTTTCATTATAAAATAGAAAATTATATTTTTCCTTTCAATGATTCTAAAATTTAAATGGATTGCCATTATTTATCTAATTATATATTATATTCATAAATATAGAATAATTTATTACTTAATATTAATAGAAAATTATTGAAATCAGAAATTGAATAATATGAAAAATTCTGAATAGATATTGATATAAGAATTGTTACCTTCGTATTTTATATATATATTTTTATAATTAAATAACTAAACAACGTATATTAAATATAATATTGTATAATATTTTTTCTTATTTAGACTTATAGAATATACAGTAAAATTTCTAAAATGCAAAAGATAGATACATTCATACAAAATCAAGAGAGCAAAAAGTTAAAACTAAATTAATAGTTTCCATTTTATTTTATTTAAAAATAACATAAAAGTTTTCCATTATATAGAATAATTTAAAATAAAAGAGTAAATAAAGTTATAATTTAATCATTATCAGAATCGCTTAAAATTAAGTTCAACCGACATCGCTTTGTGAATTTAGTTTTTCTTAAGAATTTTTTTTCTACATCTTATTTTCTAATCCTTAATCGTGCAATTTTTATAGAAGCAATAATTTAAAAGATTTATTATCATAAATTATTTTCATATTTTCTTCAAATCCACATATTTCCCTTCTCCCCTCATTTTATTTCTCTCTTCCCTCTTTCATCTATTTTCACACCGCGCGTAAAAAGTATGCAAATGTACACGCGTATTATCTCAGACTACGTGTTTTTCAAGTATCACGTGTAGAATGAGCGAAAACTCTCGAGAGATTTGTTTTTTTTTTCTTTCTTTTTTTTTTTTTACCGATACACGATACACGAAAGATATACAAAGACGGCGCAGGAGGGAAGATACGATGAGGCTGGAACGAATACAGGTCTCGGCCTATCCATACGTCGACTCGATCCTACGATCCTTTGATCCCATTCTGATTTACTCGTAGGTGGAAGTGTACTCGTAGGGGATCGGGAGAAACTTGCCGGAAGTACAAGTTCGTCGTATGTTGTCGGAATTTTCATCGTCTACGGTCTCGATACGATATCACACGGTGGCTGAAGTTGCTGGCAGCCGAGATTTTCGTGACATTTGTTCGCGTTCCTCGCCAGATTTATGAACCATTTTCACGACTTACTTTCTTTTCCCACGGATTGACGCGGGTGATTCTCGAAGGGGATAAAGTTCTTCGTGGGAAATTACAGAGAAAACGCAGCGTGAAGATTGACCGACGTTCCCTTCAATCTTTCGAACGAGGATCATAAGTTTCGAAGTTTCGAAAAGTTTTAATAAATAATTACCACTCTTTGTAGCAATGAAATTTTTCACTTAATGATGGATGAAGTTTTTGCTCGAAAAAGAACGAAGAACAACAAGATTTATCGAAAAGCGTTTATTTGTATTTTTATTGAATAATTTGAAAGTAATGATAGAGGAGAGAATTAAATCTTGTATAATGATTTTTTTTTTTAATGGGAGCAATGTAGAAAAATATTATATAATTTCGAAAAAATTGAAAAAAATCATACAGAGAAAACTTTTTCGATTATTTTCGTTATTAATTTTTTATATTTTTTTAAATTCTTTATTGCGTATTTCTAATTGCAATATAATTAATTGTATTTTTTTGGAATGATTGATTGTTATCGTTAAAAAATAATATAACTGTTCATTTGTTAGTTAGAATTGATTGAAAAAAATGCTAAATTATTTTTAAGGCAAATATATTTGATCTTTTTTATGTAATTTTTTCCACCAAGATTTCAAGATTATCTATTCCAATTCCTTTTTCTAATCGCATAGAAAAGATTAAAAATATTAGAGGATTCTTTAGCTAATTTATTAGATTATATATAAAATTTATATAAAATTTAGCGTCGATTCAAAATTTATAGCTTCTAAATATAAATCATTAAGTAATATTTGTTGCAAAAATAAATTTTATATCATAATTTCGACATTATTAATCATATAATTGAATTGGAGTGTTTTTCTTCAACATACGTAAAAATTGTTAATATTATTAATAGAAATAATTTTGTTAAATTTTTGAAATGATTAGGTTAAAAGAACAAGCAATGTGCTATGTGGTAAACATTTAAATTCTAAAATATAAACGTAAACACTAAAATAAGGAATTATTAATAATTTTCAATTGGAGACAATTAAATTTTATTCAATGAAATTATTAATAATTATATAAAAAATTTTATTAAGAATTCGTTACATTTATTTAATCTATAATAATAATAATAATAATATGATAGATAATATCAAATTTTTAACATTTATGATAGTTTCAGTAATCTTGTATAATGATTGTAATATGTAGAAGATAAAGATATATCATTATTTATTGAGTTATAAAGAATCGAAATTTGTATTAGACAAAGCGAAACGAAAAGAGAATGAGATCC